TGGAGATATAATACACATGGTAATTATTCCTCAAATAATATTCATGTACAGTTTCCACGAAACTCTCTGTTATGAATCAATGATTTACAATAAACAGAATACACAAGACCATTGAAGTTACATCAACACAGGGGTTCAATCCAGCAACAAAGTATTAAACTCATTACGGGCATTAAATTTATTCCTAGAACAATAAATCCAAGTGAAGCATTTTATATAGACACATCGCACATCTCCCAACAAATAATTGACGAAAAATACACCTGCAGAGAAGACAAATAAATCCAACCTGCCCCCTGTGCGCAAGTCGATCTTCACTCGTTCGCAAGGTTTGTTTTGCTGGACGTCCGACCGATCCCTTCCTTTACCCACCATACTCCGCCATGGGTGAGTGTTCGCGCAGGCCCCGAATTTATCTGAGAAAATTCCAGCCATCCGACATCCATTTCGAATTTGTTAACGTGCTAACGGTTGTTCATTGACCGGGAATGGTATAAAACCTGTGATGATTTGTGCGGGATTGAAGAGATAATGGTAAAAGGATAAATGAAAAGTGGTGTTGTGGTGTGCTGTCGGATTCGTCATGTAAATAAGACTGTTGTTGTGAATATTTTCTTACGTTGAAAACTCGAAGAAAGGAGTGATGTGAATAAGACAAGATCTTAGAGTATAGTGATTCATGAGATACAAAATTAATATGTTCGTGTGGCATATAAAGAAAATATAAGCGGTTAATGTTGCTTCTCTTAAACCCGGTGTCTCCTCACGTTTTTACTCATGCGTTCTCAAGGCTTTTGTTTTGCATGGTCATAATTAGTAAAAGAGATTACTGTAAGTTATTTATTTTGAAAATGCAGCGAGACAAATCCATTCTGATTCTCTAAAACACGTGTAGCTTTGTAAAATCGGGACCAAGTTTGTCGTTTAGAATAACCGTACCGTTTGTTACCGCGTTTCACATACAGGCGTTTTTATATGAAACAGCAAATTTGTATTTTCATGTTAGATTTGTATATATGGATATTCTTTGTGATATCACATGCATATAATAATCTTAGTCGTATTTTATGGTCATAAATGGATCATATAATAGTTGTATTTTATGTTCATATTCCCATTGTTTCCCTGCAGGTATTTCACGCGATCACTGGCATAAAAGGCGTGCCACTGGAGGCAAGGGGGTTCAGCCCCGCAAGAAGAGGAAGTTCGAGCTTGGTCGTCCTGCAGCTAACACCAAGGTGAGTACTGGGCCTTTGAGCTTCTAACTTCGAGGGAATCACAACTAGGGGTCATTATCAATAGTAACTGCATGTGGGGATTGTTTCACTGGTTTCATAGATGTTAGGCAATAGGTTACAATAAATATGCACTTGTAAAACTGTTGGGACAATATGTATAAGGTAGTGGCCGAGTTGGGTAATACAACCTACATGAAATGATAGAACAATACAAACCAAGACAAAGTTCTTCTATGGCAATATGTGTGCTAATGCTTTCCAAGGGTGCTATACGTAAAAGAAAAAAGATGGGGGGTTACTTAACAATTTTGATATTTTTCTGCATGAAGTCCATTGCTTTTAACGATTCTAGGCATTGTTCCTTGTGCAAATGGACGACCTAACCCAACATCCAACCTAACCTAACACTGGTATATATTCCCTAGCCAGGGGGCTCTGCCCCCTGGACCCCCAGGGTAGTATATATACCAAGCACCCTTGGGAAGCATTTGCACACACATTGCCATAGAAGAACTTTGTCTTGGTTTGTATTGTTCTATCATTTCATGTAGGTTTTATTACCTAACTCTGCCACTACCTTATACTACATATTGACCCAAGGCTATACATAACCTTAATTTGTATTTATTATCTAAATACAATTGTCTTTTATTAGCAATCCAAATTATAGAAAACAAACATGAAAAGCTATCTGAGGGTGGAGTAGACTGTCTGAGTGGTGATATGCAGTGATAAATAAAAGGTCACAGCAGTTGTACATTTGTTGTTTGACTATTTTTTATGATCTATGAGATGGCAGTGTAGATTTTCTTCTATCTCAGTGTCTCTCTGTAACATTAACCCGCCAAAACTTTCAAACCAGGGCTCCTTACCACCAGACCTTCAACCAAACTTTAGAATTATTCTCCACATGGCAT